CCGGCCATTTTTTGGTTGCAGCCATCATTGTTGTTTGGTGGGTCCGGGCTGGGGATTTGAACCCGCCACCTTAGGTGTACGTGGCTGGCGCCCTAGCCGGTTGAGCTATAGGCACCGAGCCAGAATAAGTAATTTTCTAAGAGAAGATAGTTTTTATCTCCAGACCCTAGTCCTCAATAAACAATTGTTAAATTAATAATCAACCAGGCAGTCTGACTTATTTAGGACCAGGCAGCTTGACTTACTTAGTTTGGCTTATCAAAGGTATGTTTTATCTATTATTTTTAAAGAGGGCAAAATGGTGATTCTGTCTAATGGGATATGTGGAAATGTTACTAAAATTCTTACCTTCTTAGGAAAGAAAATGAGGTGAGTGAAGACACGTTTAGTGCTAAATTGTTAAATCTCTAGTGCTGGCCTTGGAGAGTTTCACAGATGGAAGTTGTCATTTTCATTTTCAAGCAGTATATGCTATCAAAAAAAAAAAAAAAAAAAAGAGAGACAGAGAGAGAAGAAAAGGCTTCTAGCCCCCAGGGACCAGTGCTGGCAAGTGAGATGGCATAGGTGTATGTGAGCATTTTTATAGAAATGGTACTAGTTAGCAGGTGCTTTAAAAATTCATAGAGATCATATCACATAGGTCCAGCTCCTCTTTCTGCTTCTGAGGAGAGCTCCCAGACTTTTCTTTGGAGAGTTATTGCTCCATCATTGGAGTCAGTTACCATGTCAATCAAGATGCTGCCCAAGGTGGGGAGGTCTATGATGCTCTGTTCCTGAAATTCCAATACATTCTAATGAAGTGGCATGAAGTTCTCGGTTCCATCAGTCCTGTGACTGCTTGATAATCCTTGGGACCTCTGTCCTGGGAGTTGTCAGGGTGTCTTTCCTAACCCCTGTTTCCTCTGCTGACCTTGGCCTTTCAAGAGGCCTCCTGTATCTTTCCAACATGCTCTTTTAAGATTTTTAATTCTGTGGTCCGAAAGTCAAGTTTTCTTTGGCTAGTGAAGTTTGAAGAATCCTGTTTTGCTGAGATGTCACGAGTTGTTTTAAAGAAAAAATATAAATAATGATACAAAGGTTATGCAGCCGTAGGAGACGCTGTGAGGATCGGCAAAGGGCTAATGTTTGGGGAATATCTCTGCAGACATTGTTATTAACAAGGAACTTCGGGGAGGGAGGGGTAAAAATCTACTTAAAAGGTACAATGAACGCTGTTGGATGATGGGCGCTGATAGCGCTGAATTAAACATTATAAAAGCTATTGTGTAACAAAAACATTTATACTCCCTTAATATTGGGAAATTGAAAAGGAGCAAAACAAAATAATGATGAGCTTCCTCAGCATATTCAGGCATTAAAATGAGAGCATCTTGAAAAATCATTAAAATGAGTAAAAGATTGTTATTGGGCTGATTCTATTAATAAAAAATGGACTTGGAAAAGATAATATGCTAATTATTATATTAATAGTCTACAAGGCCTAAAGCAAATACATTTTGAAAGGGAATGGTATTCCTTCCTTAATCAAGATAAGGGCTTTTTATTTAGAAAAAGTTATTGCCAGGCAAGGTGTGGTGTGGCTCACACCTGTAATCCTAACACTCTGAGAGGCTGAGCAGGGTGGAGTACTTGAGTTTAGGAGTTCGAGAGCAGCCTGAGCAAGAGCAAGACCCTGTCTCTACTAAAAATAGAGAAACCAGGTGGGCATGGAGGCTGGTGTCTCTAGTTTCAGCTACTTGGCAAGAGGATCACTTGAGCCCAGGAGTTTGAGGTTGCTGTGAGCTATGACACCACGGCACTCTTCTCAAAACAAACAAACAAAACCCCTCCCATTTACTTCCTGTGTCAGAGAATTTCCTTTTTCCAAAGTGGAGCATTTTATTTATTTTTGACATTACTTTTCCCAATTAGTAAAGTAGTAAAAGTATAAATCTCCATCAAGCAAAACCGGAGTTAGTGATGCAGGTAAGTATATGTGTGTCTGTGAGCGGGTGGCCTGCGTCTGAGGTTGGATCTTTCCTGTTTGGGAGTATTGATTTCAGTCCTATCTCTTAGGGACACATTGCTGTAAATGTCACGAGTCCTTCTGTCCCTGCTCCAACCCCAGGGCCCAAGTTAGGATTCCCTTATTGGTGTTCTCACCTGGAGGTTCCCTACATTCTGGTATGGAATCTTGGGATCAAAACCGCTATCTCCCCAAATTTCCTTTCTGTCTGTTTTTATTTCAAGTTATGATTTTAAATCTTGGGACTGAATGTCGGGCTGAGTAAAGATTTTGAAACCTGAAAATATCTCCAAGAATTAAGTTTTCTAAGTAATCACTCTCAGGGGGAATTTGTGATAAGAAATGTAGGTGACTTGGATTCCCCCAAGTAATCTGTTCTAGGGAAATTAAGCTTCCAAAAGTGAGGCCTGGCATGGTGGCTCACACCTGTAATCCCAGCCCTTTGGGAGGCAAAGGTGAGAAGACCACTTGACTCCAGCCTGAGCAGTAGTGAGACCTCTACAAAAATAAAAATATTAGCCTGGTGTGTGGGTGCATACCCGTAGTCCCCCACCTATTCAGGAGGCTGAGGCAGAAGAATCCCTTGGGCCCAGGAGTTAGTTGGAGGTTGTAGTGAGCTGTGATGAGGCCACTGCACTCTAGCCTGGGCAACAGAGTGAGAGGAAGGAAGGAATGAAGGACGTGAGGGAGAGAGGAAGAGAGGAAGAGAGGGAGGGAGGGGACTGGGAGACAGAGAGAGAGAGAGAGAAACAGAGAGAGACAGACAGGAGAGAAAAGAAAGAGGACTTCCAGTAGTGAAGATTTCCCTTTGAAATAACATACACCAGGGGGCAGCACCTGTGGCTCAAAGGAGTAGGGTGCCAGACCCATAGGCTGGAGGTGGTGGGTTCAAACCCAGCCCCGGCCAAAAACTGCCAAAAAAAAAAAAAAATAATAAAAAGAAATAATATACACCAAGCACTTGACTATGTTTCCAATATGACCTTTATTGAGCAAGTACTGCTGTGACGTTTAACATCGATCAACGTAAGATTGCAAACTGTGCATGTCAACAGAGGTTCTCCCATGAACAAAAGTCCACTTTAACTGCACCAGTGAGGTAAACATAATTATTCATATATAGCTTTCTTAAGGCTAAGAGAGTTCTCTTCATTTATTATTTTTGGCTCAGTTAGTACTTTGCATAATACATCTCAAGACATTTCCCCCCAGTGTCCCCCTTCCCACAGCTTAGGAAATTGGCAAATTCCCCAGGTGCGTACAGTATCATGCATTTGAATCCCCCAAAGACTGAAGGGGGAGCACTCTGAGCTTGCATGCAGTCCCCTCGTATTGCACAAAGTAAAATACAATGTCTGGAGCCCCCATGGGAGAACCCGTTCTGTTTTGAAGCTGCCGATCACATGCATTTTGAAATTGTCATATGGCTTAACCTTTTGCAATGGACTCGAATCTTAGTCACCCTGGGTGACCTCCTTTACTACGGCGTGTGAAGTGACTTTCTCTACCTTTTTGGTGGACACTAATTTCTCCTCAAAGGTCTCTTCATGCTCTTCGACCTTTTGAGTGACGGTGACGGATTTAGTGATGTATTTGGTAGCACCATCCCCCCCCTCACTGGTGATTTTTTCTACCGTTTTGGTCACCACCACTTTCTCCTCACTTTGGTCACCCCCTTTCTTGTCATCGGCCGGGCTCAAGTCTAAGCCGTTGGTGATGACGCCTTTTTCCTCCTCTCGGCCACTGCCCTTCTCCTTGGTCTCCTGCTCCCGCTCCTTCCCCGCCACCTCCCCATTGATGGCTATGTCTTCCTTCCTGGCTTCCTTGGCGCCGCCATCACCTGCGTCCTCCTCACTCCCTCCCTCCTCCTCTGCTTTCTCTTTCCCCTTCCCGTCCTCTTTGACATCTTTCTCCACGTGTACCTTTATGGTCTTGGTGACAGTGACCACCGCCTCCACGGCCTCCTCCTTCCCCGGGGACTCGACTTTCTTCTTAGCCGGCACCTCTTTGGGCTTTTCCTCCTTGGGAGACTCCTTGGCTGCTTCCTTCCCTTCGGCCTCTTTCTGCTCCCCTTTGCCCACTCCAGCTTCAGGTTTGGCCTTGACCTCCTCTACCGGGGACTTAGCAGCTGGGGACTTAGCAGTCGGGGACTTGGCTTTTTCTGGTTTTCCCACCTTGGCTTCCGCCACCAGCTCCTCCTTGGGGGCCACCTCCTCTCTCTTTTCCTCGATTTTCTTTTCCTCCTTGGCTTCCGCTTCCTCTCCTTCCCCCTCCGCCTCTGTTTCTCCCTCTTCACCCTCCTCTTTTTCACTGGAGCCTTCCTTCTCAGAGCCGCCCTCTTCAGCTTGGTCTGACTTAGCGCCCTCCTCCTCTTCCTCTTCCTCCTCCTCCTCCTCCTTCTCTTCTCCTTCCTCTCCTTTCACTTCAGGTGCTTCGGCCTTCACTGGAGATTTCTTGGCAGCTTCAGCTTCTTCTTCAGCTGCTTCTTCCTCTTCCTTTTCAGCGGCCTCCTCCTCCTTCTCCTTCATGGAAACTGCCAACTCCTCCGCGATGGCGGTCAGGGCCTCTTCCATCTCCGACTTCTCATCCTCCACTTTGGTTTCCTCTATGATCTCCTCCACAAATTTGTGCTGGACCTTTAGCTTGGGAGCCTCGACCTTGGTTTTCTGGATCTTACTGGATATTGTGACCGAGGGCTGTCGGTGCGTATACAGCGGCCCAGTGATGCTTCCTGCAAACGTACTAAATCTGGTCTCTTCACCCTCCAGGAGCTTCCTAAGGAGAGAATCAAAGCAGATAAGTTGTCATCAAAATCTCATTGGGCCTTCTGAGTTCCATTAGGTGATGGATAATGCAGCCACCTGCAAATAGAATCTCATAAGGGAAAGCTTTCATCAATCTAATGTAATGCTTGGTATCATTTCACTGGGATATTGTGTCATATTCTGTGACAGAGACAGACTCTCCTGGGCTGCCATACAGCTGCCCCCTGCAGTAACTAACCACGCCCAGACACAGGCCTTAGCCCTGCAGCAGAGATCCACTTGGTGCAACATCAATATTCAGAGAAATTCCCTAGAGGCCAAGGAAACAAAACAACAAAACATACAAACACCCAAACCCTCCAAACCAAACAACTTAGGGACCTTTTGGACTTTTGGGATATGCACAAATTTCTTTTTTAGCAAATATAACGTCCAAAATTTTTTTGCAAAACTATTTAAACATATTTCAGGATTTAGGCTATATCAGATTCCAGCTAGGTGCTGATAGGGGTGTATGAGGTTATAAATTGGTCTGTAATTTTAATCATGAAATGTCTATATTGGTAGTGGGGAAACTGTTTAGCCAAGGATAATTTCCTTTGAATTATTTAGTCAACAGCAAGGTCACATGAGTTGGTAGACCTATAATCTATTTCTCTGTCTATAAAGAGATCACACATATACCGTATATATAGCTAGAGTTACATACATCTATTTATATATGTAGATCTAGACATATATAAGTATCTTACATATGTATCTAGACGTATAATCTATACAATAGTCTAATACGAAATATACACCTAAATTATCTACATATATAAAAATAAGTACATCTCTATTTTCTAATATACCAATCTCTATTATCAACCAGATGATGGCAATAGTAAGCTGTAAGAGAGAAACAGCGAACTGGAATGTCCTGATGTTTGTCCTTGACATTATAAATCTGCAAAGCTGAAACCACCAGATCAAATATTAAAAACCAAAACTCCTAATGTACACAGCTATGATTTAATAAAAAAGAAGAAAAACCCCAAAAACCACAAAAAATAAAAACTAAAACTCTATTTGTGCTTTAAGAATTCAAAAACATTTTTCAAAAAAAAGTTTAAACATATGCTTTGAAATTAATCGGCATTCCCCATGTGATTCAAACCCTTTAATTTTTATTATTATCTACTCTTTTAAAGCTGTATAAGAGGTGGCAAAACTACACTTGCAATTCTTTAGAAGACTTTCTTTTTGAGTAAGCAAGATTTGACTGATGTGACTCCCACGCCCTGTCTGCCCGCAGGGGCTGAAAGGTTCCGCTTGAATCGCCTCTGCAGTGCGGCTGGTATTCGGGCCATGTACGCAGGGAGTGTCGTACCTGTACGCAGCGATCTCGATGTCCAGAGCCATCTTGACGTTCAGGAGATCCTGGTATTCTCGCAAATGACGAGCCATTTCCCACTTCGTGCCCCGAAGCTCATTTTCCAACTGCTGGATGGTGTCCTGAAACAGACACAGGGCTCCTGCACAGACTGGTCCTTCCCAACTGTAACTTCCTTTACGAATCCCTTGCAACCCCTTCCCCGCCCCCACTCTCCTTCCCTCGGTGCAAACTCCCTGTCAGCCCCCACCCCTTGTTTTACATCTGAGACATTCTTAAAATCAATGAGACATTTCCATGAGCTGAGACCAGAGGACCGAGAACACAACTCAACAGGAGACGAACAAGTGCGCGTAAAATCTATCCATGGCTGAGATCTGCTCCTCCGCATCTGGGCCCTTTGAGCTGAAGGCAATTTTGAGAACTGTTCAAACACTGCCCGAAAACTAGTTGCTGCTTTATTAACGACCGAACGTATACCTCCTACCTTAAACTCACAAGCATGCAAAAATGGAATTGGAGAGGAAAAAAAAAACCCTTTTTGAAAAAGGTCATAACTTTAAGGACTCTGGGGCGGGGGGCAGGGGAGCAGCAGGAGAGGGGCAGGACCCTTCCCCAACTGCACTGGGTCTGTGGCGCGCCCGCGCTGGCGAGCGGCCACCAGGGAGCGCGGCGGAGAGGGCGCCTGGGCACGCGCCCTGGCGTCGGGGGCGCGCGGTGCTGGCGCTGGCGCGGGCTGGCCGCGCAGCCGCGGATCCTACCTGGTAGCTGCTGAGGTCGTGGTTGTGGCGCTCCTCGATGTCGCTGAGCTGCCGCTCCAGGGACTCCTTGGTGCCGCGCACTGACTCCAGCTCGATGCTCTTGGACTGCAGCTGGCGCCGGTACTCGGCGATCTCTTCCTTAGCGGAGCGGATGGCCTCCTTGTTCTGCTCGGCAGCCTCGGTGAGCTTGGCGTAGCGGCATTTAAACCACTCTTCGGCCTGGTGCATGTTCTGGTCGGAGTGGCACTCCAGCTGGGAGCGGATCTCTTTCAGCGCCGTCGAGATGTCTGTCTTCAGGTAATCTTTGCGCTCCACCGTGATGTGCGACGCCTGGATCTGGGCCAGCAGGTCGGCCACTTCCTCTTCGTGATTGCTCCGCAGGAAGGCCACCTCATCCTGCAGTGACTGCACCTTCTTGTCCAGCTCCACCTTGACCAGCGACGCCTCCTCGATGTCTTTGCGCAGCGCGCGGATGGCCGCCTCGGTGTCGTCGCGCAGCCGCGCCTCCTCCTCGAAGCGCTCCTTGAGCCGGTGGATGTCTTCCTCCAGGTGGTCCGAGTCCAGCTGCACCTGAGCCTTCTCGTGGTTCACCATCTCCAGGGTGGCGCGCAGCTCACGGATCTCCTGGTCGTACGCGTCGCCCAGCTGGGCGTGCGAGGCCTGCTTCTGCCGCAGCGCCTGGATCTCCGCCTCGATCTCCTTGTTCTGCTGCTCCAGGTAGTGCACCTTCTCGATGTAGCCGGCGAAGCGGTCGTTCAGCCCCTGCAGCTGCTCCTTCTCGTTGGAGCGGGACAGCTTGTAGTCGCCGCCCGGCCCGGCCCCGCCGTTGAGCAGGGACGAGGACTGGCTGAAGTCGAGGCTGCTCTCGGCGGAGCTGAGCATGGCCGAGCTGTAGGCGAGGCGCGGGGCGAGCATGCTGCGCTTGTAGGAGGAGGACACGGTGCTGGGCGAGCCCCGGGACCACGACTGCGAGCGGAAGCCGCTGGACGGCGAGCCGCTCAGGCGGCTGAAGCTCGAGCGGGTTTCGGTGACCCGCCGGTAGGCGGACGGGTTGCCCAGCGAGTCCAGCGTGTAGCTCATCTTGGAGGCCTTGGGGCGTGTGGCTGTCACAGCGTTCTGCCGGCCTCGCCGCAGCCCATTTATAGCCACGGCGCTGGTCCCGGGCCAGGGCCCCGCCCCGTGGAGGCGGCGGCCGAGGAGGCGGGGACTGCGGGCACCGGTCGGGGAGGAGGGGAGGGGATGACGGCTCAGCGGTGAATCAGCTCCAGCTCCACGTGGGCCCACGCCGCATCGGACCCCTGACTTTGCTGCCCGGTCCTGGCCTCTCCCCACAGGTCCACTTTCCACCCCAGCCCACTTGTCGCCCCGCAATCTCCTTCTTTCCACCTCTCACCTTGAGACTGCGTTTTACACCCTTGGTTCAGCACCCCCCAACGCCCTTTCTTTGTTCAGTCACTCCCACTGTTCTGGCTGCCCTTCTCCAGCCCCCTGGGCCCCTTGGCCCTCCACACTCTTATCCTCAAGGCTCTCTCTTCTTTTGCTCTATCCCCCGTACTTTTTTTCTTTACCCGTCTTTGGGGCTCAGTCACTCCCTCTTTTTTGTTTTGGCCCTCTCCCTCCTACATCTGGCCCCCATCTTTCTAAGCCCCTTCCTCTGGGACCCTTTTCTTCCAATATTTTGCGTCTCCCCTTCACCTCTTTCCCCTCCCCCCACACGATCTCTCCTCCCCTCCCCCATCCTAGTCTCCCCTTGCCGTCCTCCCCTCCCCCCACTCCTGTCTTAAAGCAGCTGATGAGCGCAGAGGAGCTGAGTCTAGAAGAAAAAAAAAAAAAGGACTTTGAGGAACGGTCGGCCCGAAGGCTTCGGGAAGGGGACAAAGAGGACAGGCCGGGGTAGTTATTTGTATTAGAAGTGGGATGTGGCGCTACATTCAGCTTAACGTTTGGGGGACGTCTGCGGCTTCTGCAGGGGCACAAGGTAAGGCGCTGAGCTCGCTATGGCGCCGGCAGCACCGAGGACAGCACCCAGGCCGGCGAGCGGGACGTTCAGCTACCCTGGGGGCTTGTCCCCCAGTCTGGACTGCCTGGTCGGCAGGAGGCAGGGGGAGCTCTCCCCCCCCTTCTCTCCGAGAGAATACAAGTAAAACCTGTTTGTAGTGACTGTGTTTGCAGGATCCAAGCTGGTATCGCACGTTGAGACTTCTCTGCAATGCAGGGTTGGCACAGTGAACAGATTGCAGGTTTTGCAAACAACCAGAATGTATTAAAGTCAGTTAACAGACTTTACTTACAGCCCAGTTTGAATTTTCTGCTGTATGATGGATGCAGGAAATCAGGGAATACAGGGCCTGAAATCTGAAGGTCAAAGGCGCCTCAGAAAGGAGAATTTGAAATTTGCTGGGGTGAGAAGTCCAGGGGGGCCTAGTTCATGATTAAGTTTGGGCATAAACAATTGCCTTGTCATCTTGTGGTTCAGTACACCCTAGGTGTAACCACGATGAGAGAAAAGGCGTCTGAATTAACTTGAAATTAATTGAAAAGTTGCCAGACAGATTTACCACGACCTCGAACCAAACCAGCTATTTTCCTCCTTTTAAAAGGAAATACTTTCCTCTTTTAGATTTTAATGACTGCATTGGAATGGATTTTCCTTATCTTTAAACGTCTTTCTTGAATCAAGGACTCCACGCAGACTTCCTGCTGTCTTGTGCACTCCTAACTGTTAAAATGTCCCTTGATTTTGGATAAGGCTTTGGGGGCTAATTCAGGGTGGAAAAGTTCAGAATAGTGCAAGAGAAAGTGAAGGCTAGGATGCAGAACTAAGGACAGGGCTGAGGCCACAGGCACAGGTGGCAAATGCTTGCTATGGGTGTGCAGATACTCCGGCTCCCAAAAAGTAGAGAGGTGGGCCTTAAATAGCTTATGTCACAGCCTGTTTTCTCCAGGCTCTCTTTTATTAAATGGCAGGGTCGTACTAATCAGTACGTAGCCAGAAAAGGCATGGCCTTCTAGTGGTTTTACTTTTCATTTTTATAAGTTCTCTTGGCTCAAGTGCAGCCAAGTAGAAGAAAATGTTGAAAAAGAGAAGGGGTTAATTGAGGGAGTTCCTTCTGGTTCATGAATGTGAAGCTGCTGCATGGCAGGCTGCGTGGGGGAAGGATGTTCCAGTTTGCTGAGGGCTGGCTTATCTCTCAAGGAGATCCCCTGTCTGGAGTCACTGAGGCAGAGAAATGAGAGAGGGGGACTGGCTCGTGAATCCTGCACAGACAGGATTTTCTGGATTAATTTGGATGAATCAAGGCAAAGAAAAAGAAAAAGTCCTTGTTTTCTGGACTTATCAGGCTGTCATCTAGATAAGGCCAAATGCTAATTATGCAGCAATTTTTTTTTGCAGTTTTGGCCCAGGGCCAGGCTTGAACCTGCCACCCCCGGTATATGGGGGCGTCCTACTCCTTGAGCCACAGGCCCGGCCCAGAAATTTTGCTTTCTTACTTATTCCTTCCTGATATTATTAAAATATATCAAAACGGTGATCATGTTGTATATGGAACACATGGTTAACCGGCAGGCTTCTGTTGCTAGTTTTCTTTAGGGCTTTGGAAATGAGATGACTCTGCAGAGACACTGACAAGGAAACGCAGGTCTAACTTCGCCTTCAGCCTGTTTTGCCTTGTATCTAAACCAGCTCAGAAATTGTTCCGCTGCCAGCTGGTTACAGAGGAGGAAAGTGTTGTGTACAAACAAAATAACAGCTGATTACTCAGGGTAAATCTAGTGCCTGGTGCTTGGAATCGTAACTTCAGGGTCCCAGGATGTCTTGTTCAATCTGAGCCCTGCAGGATAATACAAATTATAACAATAACTTTATTAAGGAGAAGCTATTTCCATGACTGAAAAATGAAGGATCCAGTTCCACACTTAGAAAAATGTCCTATTTTATATTAGACTTTTCCTGCTTCACCATTTTCCCTAAAGGTGACTTGAAGGTTATACCTGTCAGGGAATTAGGAGAAAAACTTTTCAAGAAGCTGTAACAGACGTTTTTCTTTTTGTCTCTTTTGGAGACATTTGCCACCTTACTATTTTTCACAGAAAGGAGTGTTTTTACATTTTTTTAAAAAAACCCTAGTGATACTAAAGCTATGGAATCTTCTGAAAACATCAGCAAGAGAGAAAATTAGCCTGGCAATGTATCTGAATGTACCATTCGCCATTGATGGGAGGGAATGGGCTGTGATAGTTTTGTAATTTTTCCTGAGTAGAAGAGTTTCACATATGATTTGGAGGTAAGACGTTTTTAAGGAAATTATCTCGGGATTGTTGTTTCATCAGCTGCAATCTGTTTTGAGTCACTTTATAGAGAAATATACAGCCTGCTCCAACCTACACATTCCTTCGGTAGGGAGAATACAAATGTTAAGTTTGTACTGAAGAGGTAGCCACTGTGAGGCTTTGGGGGTCTCAACTACTAACAACTGGGAAAACATCCTTTGCATAATGAATGCATTTATTGGGTCAGAAAGTAAAGGTCAAAAAATAAGAAGTTGGGCATAGTCTCCTTTCCCCCTCCCCATTTCCTTCCTATTTTTCTTTTAAAGAATATATATATTTTTGAAACACAAAAATGCAAGGAGGATGGGATGTGGGAAGTTGACAGCAAGCAAGGTATCCCAGAGGGCAGATGCCACCGTCAGGCTGGTAGGCTGAATCTGTCCAAGGTTAGGAGGCTTGCCCTTTCTCCCAGCCTCCTGTGATATCTTGGACCTGATCCTTTTGCCTGGGTTCTGATTCTGAAACTCCTGGTGAATATTAACTATACCCTGCTCTTGGGTAATTATTTAAGGAGCTGTTGATGTAGGAAGTTAGGGACTTAGGCTGCTGGAGCAGGAACCACAAAAGAAAAAAATTATAACACTTATTTCTACTCAAGCCTCAGGCTGTCAAACTTTAGAATCAACTTTGACTTTTAGGGTTTTTTGGCTTCAGATGTCAAAAGGCAAATAAAAATATCCTGTAGGGAGAGAGAGGCTATTTCTTGTCAGGAAAATTGGGACGTGCCTGTTCTGCCCTGTTGCCTTTGATTAAAACAAATCCATCAGAAGGACAGTATTCTTGTTAGGACATTAAGCCACTGAAAATGGTGTTGGTTTCACTCGCCAAATACTTTCCCCACTGACTATTGCCCTATACTTCTGTCAGTTACTGTTTTTATGAAGTTAACCAAAGTATTTAAAAAAAAAAAACTTAAGCCACTTAATTTTTATACTTTTCCAAATATTAACTTAATACATTTTGAAATTCCATATCGGGAAATGTTATGCTTTGTGGGGAAGGATTTAGCTCCCGGCTTTAACAGAGCTTGCTGATTTTTTTGCTGTGTAATGCCTTCACCCTGCCCCCCGTGAATCAGTTCTGGGGAGCCAGAGGAGGAAGACTTATAATTAAAAAAAAAAGTATTTCATACCGGGATGATTCAAAAATAAAGTTTAGTAGATGCATCGTGGAACAACCCTGCATTATTAATTTTCAGCATGCTTTTAATTGAACCCATCGGCTTTACCTAAAAAGCAGCCGAGCTTGATGCTATGCACTTGAATTTTTAAAACTCTGCATTGCACAGAACACTGCACCAGAGCCGCCATGGAATATTTATAGCATATTTTATCCCAAGCTTCCCAAGTCCCGACTTAGCAAGAGACACAATTCTTTTATTAGAAACTCTTAATTAAAACGAGCTTTGTAAAACTATAGCAGATCAATAATCTTTGGACCAAATCTCCAAAAGGGACTAAACCTGGGAATACAAAGTCCAAAAGAGCTCTTACCTAATAGTTAAGTCGCATTTGTTCCAGGGCCGGGTTCTTTTTTTCCCCCACAATTTCTGCAATTCTAAGAAGCAATATTCTTTCATAATCCTCTGAAAATGGTCTCCCTGTCACAGCTCTCTCTTGTCACTTAGATTGCCAAGAACATCACATACTACATTTTAGAATATTCTACCTACCTTTTGGGTTTAAAATATATATATTATATCTATAAAATGTGGGAGTTTACAAAATGTAGAGAGGCAATAACTTAAGCATTTTCTATTTATCTTTATAACTGAT